TGGGGAGGATCTGAGAAAGGATTTGGGGAGGATCTGGGGAGGATCTGGGAAGGATTTGGGGAGGATCTGGGGAAGATTTCGGGAGCATGTGGGGAGGATTTGGGGAGGATCTCAGAAAGGATTTGGGGAGGATCTGGGGTGGATTTGGGGAGGACGTGGGGAGGATGGGAGGAGGATCTGGAGAGCGTCTGGGGAGGATCCAGGGAGGATGTGGGGAGGATGTGGGGAGGATCTGGAGAGGATCTGGAGAGGATCCAGGGAGGATGTGGGGAGGATCTGGGGAGGATGTGGGGAGGATCTGGAGTGCATCTGGGGAGGATTTGGGGTGGATCCTTCCCCCTGGCTGGGCAGGACGAGCTCTGCTCCCCGTTATCAGGGCAGCCCCACCCTGCCTGGGTGTGGGGGCCTCGTCTGGCACAGAGCCCCATCTGTGCCCCGGATCCCTGATCCCATCCTGCTCCAGGGGCTCAGCCCTCTCTTGGGGACACACAGGGGATGGGTCCTGGTGGGGTGGGCTGGGCTGGGGACCCTCCTGTGTCTGTGGAGACCTCCAGAGACCCCCGTGTGCACAGAGACCCCCTGAGTCCATGGAAATCCCTGTGTCCATGGAAACCCCCTGTGCTCATGGAAACCCTGTGCCCATGGAGACCCCCTGAGTCCATGGAGACCCCCAGAGTCCCCTGTTCTCGTGGAGACCCCCGTGCCCATGGAATCCTTCGTGTCCATAGAACCCTCCCTGTCCATGAAACCCTCCATATCCATGGGACTCCTCATATCCATGGAACCCTCCACATCCATGGAAACCCCCCCGTGTCCATGGAACCCTCCATATCCATGGAACCCTCCATATCCATGGAACCCTCCATATCCATGGAATCCTTCATATCCATGGAACCCTCCATATCCATGGAACCCCTCATATCCATGAAACCCTCCACATCCATGGAACCCTCCACATCCATGGAACCCCCCCCCCCGCCCCCAGACCCCCCCCCGCCCCCTTACCCTCCCCCCATTTCCGTACTGCCCCCGCTCCCCTCCCCTCCCTCCCCCCGCGCAGCGCTCGGGCCCCGTCGCGCCCTTTGCGCACCTTTTGCGCCCGTTTTGCGCACTTTGCGCAGCGCGGGCCCCGCTCGCCGCGGCCGCGCCCTTCGGGAAGGCGGCGGGGGCGCGACTCGGCCTCTTTACCCCCCCCCCCCCGGCCCCCCCCCCGCCATCCCCCCGGAGCTCACCGGCCCACGAAGTTCTCGAGCACCGAGCTCTTGCCCGCGCTCTGCCCGCCCACCACGGCGATCTGCGGCAGGTCGAGGTGGCAGCTCTGGCCGATGGAGCTGAAGGCGTCCTGCAGCTTGTTGACCAGCGGGATGAGCTCCTCCATGCCGCGGTTCCCCATGGCGGGGCCGGGAGCGGCGGCGGCTCCTCCTCGCGGGGCCCGGGGCGGCGGCGGCGGCGGCGGCCAAACTTCCCCTCAGAGTCTCGCCATCCGGGCCCGCCCCCCGCCCCGACAGCGCCGTCGCCATTGGCCGGCCCGGCTGTCCGTCAAGCGGGCGCCCCGAGCTGAGTGGGGCGATGAGCTGCCAATCACCTCGGGGAGCGGGTAGAGAAGCGCCAGCGCTTTCTCTATTGGGCGAGCGCCGCGTCGCTCATGATTCCCAGCCAATGGGAGCCGTGTCAGCTGAGGGGAATAGCGGTGTGGTCCCGCCTCACTGCGGCGGTTCTGCTGTTTCATTGGTGGAAACGGCAGCCGCTCAGAAGCGCGGGCCAGTCACCGCTCAGGACACGCGGAGGAGCCCGCCCACCTCTCCCCAACCCGCCCTCCCTTCCATTGGACAGCACGACCGCCGCTCTAACCGGGATGACCAACCCGGAGGCGGAGAAGAGGAAAAGCCCTTTCACGATTCGCCAGCCAGCTGTCAATCAGACATCTCTGCCCGCTAATTGGCTGTTGCGGCGCTTCCCGCCCTCCCCTTGCACATCCCCGGGACGGTTATACGCGCACAAAGAGCGACACTCCCGAGGCGAAGCCCTGGGGCCGAGTCCCCTCCACGTACCCTGAGAGGCCGCCCCGCTGAGGGCAGCAGAGCCCATTCCTGCTGTTTGCAGGCCGGGGTGAGGGGGAAGGGTCTCTGGGGTTGGACCCTCACAACAGGGCCCAACATGGCGCCCGCGTTGCCCCGGTAACGGCCACTTCCTGCGGCACTTCCGGCCGGTGAGCCCAAGATGGCGGCGCCCATGGCGGGCGCCGGGCCGGGGCCGCTCCCGGTGCTTCGGGTCGTGGCCGAGTGCGGGCGGAGCCGCGCCCGGGCCGGGGAGCTGCGGCTGCCGCGGGGGACCGTGCCCTGCCCCGTCTTCATGCCCGTGGGCACCCGCGGCACCGCCAAGGGCCTCACGGCCGCGCAGCTGGCGGCGCTCGGCTGCCGCATCTGCCTCGGCAACACCTTCCACCTGGGCACGAGGCCGGTGAGCGGCGACGGGGGAGGCAAAGGGGGGCTGGAGGGGGGGGGAGTCCGTTCCCGGACTCCAGGAGGCTTCCCAGACCACCCCCTGACGTGAATCCCAAGCTCCAGGTGACCCCTTTTCCCCCCGCAGGGCCCGGAGCTGATCCGGCGTTCCGGGGGCCTCCACGGATTCATGGACTGGCCCCACAACCTGCTGACGGTGAGGGGGCGGTGGGACCCCCCCTTCCTTGCGGGGGGGACACCCTCGGGACCCCCAACCCCAGGGGCTCCCTGACCCCCCCC